ATATCGATATATTTTTGTCAAATTTTTATGATATCTTTAAACTTATATTTTATTCAAAATTAAAAACATCATCGCTTTCTGAAAATCACATAAGACCATATTATAACATCGACTAAGATAAAGAATAAATGAAATATTAAAATCAAGATGTATCTCGCTGCATTGTGCAAGTACCCTTCTAGTATATATATATATATATATATATATATATATACTATATTATAAAGCATTTGACAAAAACTCTTAGAAACCATTTTTTATGCATGAAATATTGTTTATTAATGCATATTACTTAAAATTTAAGATTACAAATAAATTGTGCATGCATACAACTTATTAAAGCTCCATTTTTGAATTCATATAACTAACTGCAGATAAACATAATCAAATACTGGATAAACATATCATTTTAAATATAATTAGGATAATGATTGTGTTATGACATAATAATTATCTTTACAAAATTTATACCGTTAAGCCAAAAATATTAGATCTAAATTAAATTAAAAGATTGAATTTAAAGAAATTGTACAAAAAAAGGAGAACTTTTAAATAGTTAATTTGACATTAATATCAATATATTTTTTCAAAATTTTATGATATCTTCAAATTTATTTTTATTCAAAAGTAAAAACATTATATTTCTCAAAATCACATAAATCGTATTATATTAACAAAGACAAAAAATAAAAGAAAACATTAAAATAAAGATGTATATCGCTGCATTATGCGAGTACCCTTCTAGTATGTATGTGTGTGTGTATATATATATATATATATATATATATATATATATAGGTGGAGGTCCAAACGAGAACCTCTATAATTTACGAGAACGCGAGAACAACTTACTAACCTCAAACTTTTTTAACTAATAAATTAACTTATATTAAATATAAATAAGTCAATAAGGGCAGTAATGTAATTAGGTATTTTTATAATTTTTATTTTATTTTAATTAATTAGAAGTATCCTTTTTTTATTGATCACGTTTCTTCCTTTCCACTTTCTTCTCTAGTTGGTTTTCTTCACATTCGACTTTCTTATCTCATTTTCTTCACATCGTTCATAGTATCCATATTTTTGTCGATCTAGAATGGAGGACTTGAATGTTGTAGGTAAGGAAGCAATTTAAATTTGATCTACTTGACGTCGTAGCCCTAAAGTCTTGATTTTTAATCAAACTCATATCGTATCATATCATATGTTATTTTGATCTCCAAAATCAATTCATGTTTGAGGTTTTGAGTATTTTCTGCAGTACTAATTAAGCTTCATCAATGATCATCACAGCCATATCACACCAAATCAATGATTATAATAATGATATCACATGATTATCACACCCATAGCACACCAAATCAATGATTATAATAGTGATATCACATGATTATCACACTCATAGCACACCAAATTAAGTAGTCGATTTCCTAAGTTAACCTTAGCCGAGCGGAATCCTTGTGATAATTGTGTGATTATCTAACCCTAACCGATCGAAACCATGCTCAAATCGAGTGCGACTATGAGCAAATGATGTTATAATAGTGATGTCACATGATTATCACACTCATATCACACCAAATCCCACACAATCACCGGCTATGACCAAATCCATTTCGATCATCCATGATTTAGTTAAAGTCAATAACACCCATGGGTTTATCTTAAGCAATTTAAATTTGATCTACTTGATGTTGTAACCCTCAAGTCCCGATTTTTAATCAATCCCATATCATATCATATGTCCTATTGATCTCCAAATTAATTCTTGTTTGAGGTTTTGAGTATTTCCTGTAGCACTAAGTTTCATCAATGATCATCACAGTTATATCACACCAAATCAATGATTGTAATAGTGATATCACATGATTATCACACCCGTATCACACCAAATTAAGTAGTCGATTTCCTAAGTTA